TAGTTTTAGTAGAGACGGGGTTTCACCATGTTGACCAGGATGGTCTCGATCTCTTGACCTCGTGATCCACCCGCCTCGGCCTCCCAAAGTGCTGGGATTACAGGCGTGAGCCACCGTACCCGGCCCAATTATTATTTTTTATAGATTTTTTTTTTTGAGATAGAATCTTGCTCTGTTACCTGGGCTGGAGTTCATTGCAACCTACACCTCCGGGGTTCAAGCAATTCTTGTGCCTCAGCTTCCCAAGAAGCTGTGATTATAGGCATGTGCTACCATACTGGACTATTTTAATTTATTTAGAAATAGGGCTGCAGTGTGGTGGTGGAAGTCCTAGCTCACTGCAGCCTTGAACTCCTGAGCTCAAGTGATCCTCCCATCTCAGCTTCCCAAGTAGTTGGGAGTACATGTGCCTGCCACCATGCCTGGCTAATTATTTTTTTTGTGTAGAAATGGGGTTTTTGTTGCCCAGACTGGTCTCGAATTTCTAGGCTCAAGTGATTCTCCTGCCTCAGCATCTTAAAGTGCTGCAATTACAGGGGTAAGCCACCACACCCAGCCAACATGTGGTTCTTTTAAATCTGTCTTCTTTAGGATGAAAGTGACAAAAGAGGTATCAGGGATTTAGTAACAACCCATACCTGTTTTTTCTAGGGGCTTTATGGAGAAGGTGAGTTTTAAAGAACAGAATTAGGATATTTAGTGGGTGGAAAGTTTCATGACCTTTTCTCTCTATTGGTTAGAAGGGATGTCGGTATAGTGGTAGACTCCACCGATTTCCAAGTTCTAGATGCCAAGTGACTGTACTGAGTTGGGCAAAATTTTGTCTTTTTTTTTTTTGTTTTTGAGATGGAGTCTCACTCGGTTGCCCAAGCTGTAGTGCAGTGGCACCATCTCAGCTCACTGCAACCTCTACCTCCCAGGTTCAAATGATTCTCCTACCTCAGCCTCCTAAGTAGCTGGGATTACAGGCACTCACCACCATGCCTGGCTAATTTTTTTTATATTTTTAGTAGAGATGGGGTTTCACCATGTTGACTAGGCTGGTCTCAAATTCCTGACCGTAGAGGTGATCTGCCCATCTCAGGCTACCAAAGTGCTGGGATTATAGGCATGAGCCACCACACCCAGCCAAAATTTTGCCTTTTTGTTTTTCATTTTTTGAGACAGTCTCGCTCTGTCACCCAGGCTGGAGTGCAGTGGTGTGATCATGGCTCACTGCAGCCTCCACCTCCCAAGTTCAAGTGATTCTCCTGCCTCATCCTCCAGAGTAGCTGAGACTACAGGCGCCCACCACCATGCATGGCTAATTTTTGTATTTTTAGTAGAGACAGGGTTTTGCCATGTTGGCCAGGCTGGTCTCGAACTCCTGACCTCAGGTGATCCACCCGCCTTGGCCTCCCAAAGTGCTGGGATTACAGGCATGAGGAACTGCACCCAGCCTTGCCTTTTTATTTATTGCAAAATTCTGTTCCCATATGGTACCTGACATACCATTATGTTTTCTGGTTTTGCTTGTTTCCTTTCACTCCTGGCAAGCTGTGATATGCAGAGCAACTGCCATGTTTTAGCCCAGTGCATACTTGAAGGATGAATTAATGTATTATTATTGCCTGTAATCCCAGCACTTTGGGAGGCCGAGGCGGGTGGATCACGAGGTCAAGAGATCGAGACCATCCTGGTCAACATGGTGAAACCCCGTCTCTACTAAAACTACAAAAAATTAGCTAGGCATGGTGGCGCGTGCCTGTAATCCCAGCTACTCAGGAGGCTGAGGCAGGAGAATTGCCTGAACCCGGGAGGCGGAGGTTGCGGTGAGCCGAGATCGCGCCATTGCACTCCAGCCTGGGTAACAAGAGCAAAACTCCGTCTCAAAAAAAAAAAAAAAAAAATGTATTATTATTATTTATAGTTTTTTCAAGATGAAGTGATTATATCTCAGTAGGAACATACATATTCACTGTTTACATGTATTGTCATATTTAATTTCTTTGTGAATACCAGTTTTTATTTTTTTTATTTTTTTATTTTTTTTTGAGACGGAGTTTCACTCTTGCTACCCAGGCTGGAGTGCAATGGCGCGATCTCGGCTCACCGCAACCTCCGCCTCCCGGGTTCAGGCAATTCTCCTGCCTCAGCCTCCTGAGTAGCTGGGATTACAGGCACGCGCCACCATGCCCAGCTAACGTTTTTTGTATTTTTAGTAGAGACGGGGTTTCACCATGTTGACCAGGATGGTCTCGATCTCTTGACCTCGTGATCCACCTGCCTCGGCCTCCCACAGTGCTGGGATTACAGGCGTGAGCCACGGCGCCTGGCCTCCAGTTAGTTTTTAAAGTCCCTTTCCTTGCTCTCCTTTTTTGGAGATGGCGTCTCACTCTGTCGCCAGGCTGGAGTACAGTGGCGCGATCTCAGCTCACTGCAACCTCTGCCTCCCAGGTTCAAGCAATCCTCATGCCTCAGCCTCCCGAGTAGCTGGGACTACAGGCACGTGCCTCCACATCCAGCTAAGTTTTGTATTTTTAGTAGAGATGGGGTTTCACCATGTTAGCCAGGATGGTCTCGATCTCTTGACCTCATGATTTGCCTGCCTCAGGTTCCCAAAGTGCTGGGATTACAGTTGTGAGCCACCGCACCCGGCCTTTTTTTGGCAGGGGGACAGGTTCTTACTGTCACCTAAGCTGGACTGCAGTGGCGCGATCTCAGCTCACTGCAACCTTCGCCTCTTGGGTTCAAGCAATTCTTGTGCCTTAGCTTCCCGACTAGCTTCGATTACAGGCATGTGCCATCATGCAAGCTCATATTTTTGAATTTTTAGTAGAGATGGGGTTTCACCATGTTGGCCAGGCTGGTCTTGAACTCCTGACTTCAGGTGATCCACCCACCTCAGCCTCCCAAAGTGCCCGGATTACAGGCATGAGCCACCATGCTCAGCTACATTTCCCTGCTCTTTAGTCATGTAAATGCTGTGTTTTGGAGTTTCATTTGTCCACAAATGAAAAGTCTAAATGTTTTAGGAATTAAGGTTGAAGTTTATGTTTGTTGATTTGAAACATAAATATAGCGGAGGAATTCTGTTTTGGATGCTTGATCTCTCCTCTGCTCCAATGTTGATTTGTTTCATTGAACAAAATGATCTCTCAGGGAATCTTCTATGCAGGAGAGTATTTTGACAAGGTTTATCAAAGTCTTGAGAGAATGTTTAAATAATAGTAAAATGAATAGCTCATGTTTTTTTCTATTTTAGTCTTGCTGGTGGATGCCCTCCTTACTCCCCAATATATACATCATGGATAGATTGTTGGTGCATGCTACAAAAAGAGGTATTTCTTTTTCTCTGTCTCTTTCATTTTTTTTATTTTTATTTGTTTGTTTTCTTAAATAATGTCTCTGGAATCCCAAGTTAACTCTTGTAGGTCACTCTAGCTGCCAATTAATGTATACTTTACTATGCTCTATGTTTCACTTTGGCGTAACAGTAAAATGTGATGTTTAGAAATCATGAGCAGGAGTAATGAAGAAGAAAGAATCTCTAGGTGAGATCTAGAAGCCAATTGAGTGCTCACATTCAGCTTAGAAATATGATCCAGGTAGATAATTATCCTAGTAAAATGATGGCCTTGATTTTAAATTCTTTTTTTTCCCAGACTCACCTTTTATAACCAATTGTTTGTCACAGTGGTATTGACAGAGCTGGTCTCATACTTCTAGAGTTGTTAGTGGATGATTTTGCCTATATACCAATTTAGGGTTTGTTACTACTGTGAGGTGTATGATCTGCGACAAAAAGTTCTTTATTACCTAGGCAAAGCTTTACTGGAAAATAAAACAGTGGGCTCGTGCTAAAATAATGTGCTGGGTGACTGGCTCCTGCTTGTAATTCTAGCATTTGAAATGGCCTAGGTGGGCAAATTGCTTGAGCCCAGGAGTTTGAGACCACTCTGGGCAACATGGTGAAACTTTGTCTTTTTTGTAGCGATGAAACCTCATCGCTACAGAAAATACAAAAATTTAGCCAGGCAAAGCACCTATAGTCCCAGCTACCTAGGAGGCTAAGGTGGGAGGATCACCTGAGCCCGGGAGGTCAAGGCTGCAGTGAGTCAAGACTGCACCACTGAACTTAAGCCTGGGTGACAGTGAGACTCTGTATCCTCCCCCCGCCAAAAAAAAGGAAAATAAAATAATGGCCAGCTATGGTGGCTCACACCAATAATTCCAGTTACTCAGGAGGCTGAGCTTGGAGAATCACATGAGTCCAGTTTGAAACCAGCCTGGGCAACACAGCCAGACGTGTCTCAAAAAAAAAAACAGTAGGCCAGGCGCAGTGGCTCATGCCTGTAATCCCAGCACTTTGGGAGGCCAAGGCAGGAAGATCACTTGAGGTGAGGAGTTGAAGACCAGCCTGGGCAACACGGTGAAACCCTGTCTCTACTAAAATACAAAAGAAATTAGCCGGGCGTGGTAGCATGCACCTGTAGTCCCAGCTACTTGGGAGACTGAGGCAGGAAAATTGCTCGAATTTGGGAGGCGGAGGTTGCAGTGAGCCGAGATCGTGCCATTGCATTCCAGTCTGGGTGACAGATTGAGAGACCATCTCAAAAAACAACAAAAAAAAGACTCCATCTCAAAAAACAACAACAACAAATGGAGGCCGGGCGCGGTGGCTCAAGCCTGTAATCCCAGCACTTCGGGAGGCCGAGGCGGGTGGATTACGAGGTCAAGAGATCGAGACCATCCTGGTCAACATGGTGAAACCCCGTCTCTACTAAAAATACAAAAAATTAGCTGGGCATGGTGGCACGTGCCTGTAATCCCAGCTACTCAGGAGGCTGAGGCAGGAGAATTGCCTGAACCCAGGAGGCGGAGGTTGCGGTGAGCCGAGATCGCGCCATTGCACTCCAGCCTGGGTAACAAGAGCGAAACTCCGTCTCAAAAAAAAAAAAACAAATGGATTCGCTGTGGGCTAAATTTAGCACAGGATCACTTAAAATGGCTATGAGTTTAAAGCTGTTTTTAAAGGGGGATCCACTTTTTAAAAGATGCAGAAGAAAGTTTATAAAGAAGCTCTTTGTTGCATTATTTTATAGCACTAGTGATATACTTAAAAAAAGCCTTTGAGCCGGGCGCGGTGGCTCAAGCCTGTAATCCCAGCACTGTGGGAGGCCAAGGCGGGTGGATCACCAGGTCAAGAGATCGAGACCATCCTGGTCAACATGGTGAAACCCCGTCTCTACTAAAAATACAAAAAATTAGCTGGGCATGGTGGCGTGTGCCTGTAATCCCAGCGACTCAGGAGGCTGAGGCAGGAGAATTGCCTGAACCTGGGAGGCGGAGGTTGCGGTGAGCCGAGATCGCGCCATTGCACTCCAGCCTGGGTAACAAGAGCAAAACTCCGTCTCAAAAAAAAAAAAAAAAAGCCTTTGAAATCTGAATGAAAGGGCCTGAGTGTTGTTTGTAGTTGCTCTTGCTCAGTGTGCCCACAAAGCCCCTCTGTGAATCCAAGCTAGAATACTTGAATGATTTCAGTATGGACCTACCATGAACATTGTACGTTTCATTCTGAGTTTTACCCTCTATTTTACCCTCTGTTGGACAGTCTCCCTGTGTGGTCCCTGTTTAAATGGGAAAAAAATAGCCTTTCTTTCCTTCCTTTTCTTACTAACCCCGTTACAGGAAGAAAGCAGATAGAGAATGGATTAGGATGTCAGACACACTTTCCATAGGAACAGTTGTTCCCGTAGGTGCTTACAACAACGGCAAATCTTGATTTGGCATTTACTGTATACCAGATATGGTGCTAAGAGCTTTTCTTACATCAGCTCATGTAACCTCAGAACAGCTGTGTGAGGATAGGTGTCATTCTGAATCACCCATTTTACATATGAGGAAACTGGGGTCTAGAGCAGTTTAGTGCAAATTACATAGCCCAAGGTCACATGGTGTATATTTGGGAAGACTGGGATTTATACTCCAGAGTGTACTCAGTTGCACACACAACATTATTACTTTATTTACTTTTTTATTTTATAGAGACAAGCTCTGTCACCCAGGCTGGTGTGTAGTGGTGCCATCACAACTCACTACAGCCTCAAACTTCTGGGCTAAAGCAGTCCTCCTATCTCAGACTCCCAAGTAGCTAGGACTACAGGCATGCTGCCACCACCCCCGTTCTTTTTTTTTTTTAAGTGTTTCGCTTTGTCACGAGGCTGGAGTACAGTGGCATGATCTTGGCTCACTGCAACGTCTGCCTCCCAGCTGAAATCTCTGGCTCCAGTGATGTTCCCACCTCAGCTTCCCAGGTAGCTGGGACTACAGGCACACAACACCAAGCCCAGCTAATTTTGGGGTTTTTTTTGGTTTTTGTTTTGTTTTTGTTTTTGTTTTTGAGACGGAGTCTTGCTCTGTCACCCAGGATGGAGTGCAATGGTGCAATCTCGGCTCACTGCAACCTCCGCCTCCCGGTTCAAGCGATTCTCCTGCCTCAGCCTCCGGAGTAGCTGGGATTACAGGCACCCACCTCTACACCTGGCTAATTTTGTATTTTTAGTAGAGACCGGGTTTCACCTTGTTAGTCAGGCTAGTCTCGAACTCCTGACCTCAGATGGTCCGCCTGCCTCAGCTTCCCAAAGTGCTGGGATTATAGGCATGAGCCACTGTGCCTGGCCAATTTTTTGTAGCAACAGGGTTTCACCATGTTGTGCAGGCTGGTCTCAAATTCCTGAGCTCAAGTGATCCTCCTGCCTTGGTATCTGAAAGTGCTGGGATTACAGGTATAAGCCATAGCACCTGGCTTTTAATTTTTTAATTTCTTGGAGAGATGGGGTCTTGCTATGTTGTCCAGGTTGTTATCACTTTGATTATAAGATTTTATAAGTAGTCCTTTGAAACATGATCCCATTTCATTAAGAAATAAATAGGCCAGGCTGTGTGCGGTGGCTCACGCCTGTAATCTGAGCACTTTGGGAGGCTGAGGCAGGTAGATCACCTGAGATCAGGCGTTTGAGACCAGTCTGACCAACATGGAGAAACCCTGTCTCTACTAAAAATACAAAAATTAGCCAGGTGTGGTGGTGAATGCCTATAATCCCAGCTACTCAGGAAGCTGAGGCAGGAGAATCTCTTGAACTCGGGAGGTAGAAGTTGCGGTGAGCTGAGATCATGCCATTGCACTCCAGCCTGGGCAACAAGAGCGAAACTTCGTCTCAAGAAAAATAAATAAATAAAAAAAAGAGGCCGGGCGCGGTGGCTCAAGCCTGTAATCCCAGCACTTTGGGAGGCCGAGGCGGGTGGATCACAAGGTCAAGAGATCGAGACCATCCTGGTCAACATGGTGAAACCCCGTCTCTACTAAAAATACAAAAAATTAGCTGGGCATGGTGGCTCGTGCCTGTAATCCCAGCGACTCAGGAGGCTGAGGCAGGAGAATGCCTGAACCCAGGAGGCGGAGGTTGCGGTGAGCCGAGATCGCGCCATTGCACTCCAGTCTGGGTAACAAGAGCGAAACTCCGTCTCAAAAATAAATAAATAAATAAATAAATAAAAAATAAATAAATAGGCCAGCCATGGTGGATCACACCGGTAATCCCAGCACTTTGGGAGGCCAAGGTGGGCGGATCACATGAGGTCAGGAGTTTGAGACCAGCCTGGCCAATATGGTGAAACCCGCTTCTACTAAAAATATAAAACTTAGTTGGGCATGGTGGTACATGCCTGTAGTCCCAGCTACTTGGGAGGCTGAGGCAGAAGAATCGCTTGAACCTGGGAGGTAGAGTTGCAGTGAGCCGAGATTGCACTGCTATACTCCAGCCTGGGCAACAGAGCGAGACACCATCTCGAAAAAGAAAAAGAAGTAAATGAAAGCTAGCACTTACTGAATGTTAGGCACTGTTCTAAGTGACTCATTTGATAACCCAATGACAGTGACAAAGCTGGAATCCAATCTGGGCATTCTGTCTGCCCAGCGAAAGAACCTATTAATGAGAAGAAACTGTAGTTAGTTCCACAGCAACTCAGCCTTTCAGAGAATACAAATCCTTGTTCCGTAGTGATAGTCCCAGTTTTGTCCTGGTCATTTAAGTCATGCCTTCCAGTGCTGATTTGGATTGGCTGATCTCATCTTCTCGCTAGACATTATTTGTGTTTTTTTTTGTTTTCCAGGGGAATATGAGCCGAGGAAATAGCTTGTTTTTCCGGAAGGTCCCCTTTGGGAAGACTTATTGTTGTGACCTGAAAATGTTAATTTGAAGATGTGGGGCAGGGACAGTGACATTTCTATAGTCCCAGATGCACAGAATTATGGGAGAGAATGCTGATTTCTATACAGTGTGGCGCGCTTTTTTAATAATCATTTAATCTTGGGAAAATGGAGGTGTTTGGTGTCTGCCTTTTTTGTTCTTTTTTCCAGCACACATAACTTACCACTGATACTCCCCTTTTAGTTATTCTGAAATGGGATATTTTTGCTCCAGATTCTTATTTTACTTAACCAGAAGGGGAAAAAAAGCTGTATTTTCCTGAAGGTATAGACACTTTGTCATGTGATTTTTGAGTCTCAATTTAAGACTTTGTAAAATGAAGAGTAGAATTCCAAGAAGAATAAGAAATAATTCTTTAAAACTTAACAAAAACACTAAGTTAAACTATATGGGAGGTTATGAATGACCTTTTCTTGGGTAGACCCTAGAAAGTCAGTAGCATGCACCAGAATCTGCCTCCTGTTGTGCTTCTAAGCACACTTCATTGACCTTGTCTCTCATACTTCAAGAAAAGGACATATGTTGCTATGTTGCCCTAGAAAGTCTGTGTGAGGATCTGCCCCAGTAATAAAATGTCACCGACAGGGAGCCTCTGAGCCTACCCTAGCTGAAGAGGCTGCCTGAAAAAAAAATAAGATAAAGGTCAGCAACAACAAGGAAAAGGACAATTACAGAAAATAAGCAAGATTTGGAAAGGAAGTATAATGGCACTTTTTTCCCCAAAGGAAATTCTTGTTTTCACATAAAATACGAAAAGCAGATACTGAAGGAGTAGCCCTCTTCTCTAAGAGCCAAGTATTTGCCAGTCCTTAAATTATACCATATGGTTCTAATTGTATATAATCTTAATGTTCTTCCGTTTTTTGTTTTGTTTCCTTTTTGTTGTTATTGCCGAAGGTGAGTACTTTTGCATTTCTGATGACCACCATGTTGGAAAGTAGATTTGTAACTCCATGTCTGGTAACGCCAACCCAAGTCCACATGAGTCTTAGGACACTGACTGCCTCACATGCCATACCCTCAGTTAAGCATGTTAACATTTATAGGAGAAAAAACCACTTTAGGAGGAAATAAATTCAACTCAAGCATAAAGCTTCTATTTACTCAGGCCTTTTAAAAAGCAGGTTAAAATGCTCTAAAACGAGAAAGCCTGTGGTTTCACTTACTTAATAACTCACCGGGACATTGCCAAATGAGTAAGCACTTAATTTGGTGCTTCTGAGACTTCTCTGTCAAAACAGCAGCACTGATAATATTAGACAGAATGAGAATGCAGGGGTCTTTTCCCTCTCCTGGGGTTTAGGAAGCTCATGAGGAGCTCAGCTTAAAATGTCTTTGATGTCTCTTCCTTTGTTTCAAAAGTAATGTCAATTTTATATACTATTCAATATTACTATCTGCATTTGTTTTAATATAAAAATGTTTGCTGCCTATTTTTTTCTCCCAAAAAATCTTTAAGTAAATATGATCTGGGAAAATGTGCCATGTTTATCCTGTGGCTTCTGTGCACTTTCACGCTTGCCTATTCATAGTTGAGAAGCATGTCTGACTCTGAACCGGTCTACCACCAGAGGACGCCAAGGCCTCAGTATTGCCTGTGCAAGTTGGGAAGCTGAGAAATTTCTCCAAAGGCCTGGGATTACTCAAAATACTAGTGCAGCTGTTCCAGTCTTGCTGCATCCAAGGTCCATTCAGAGTCCTATACCTATGATCTTCTGTAATATCTTACTATAAGCTATTAACATAAAAGTCTAAAGATATTCAGGGGTTAAGAAATGCAGGTAGGTGCTATTAAGAAACACATGCAAGAGCCAGGCGAGGCGGCTCACACCTGTAATCCCAGCTACTCGGGAGGCTGAGGCAGGAGAATCGCTTGACTGGGGAGGCAGAGGTTGCGTTGAACTGAGATTGTGCTACTGTCTCCAGCTGGGGGAACAAGAGCAAAACTCCATCTCAAGAAAAAGAAACACAAGAAATAATGAACTCAGTAAATAATATGAATTTAGGCCTGGAGTGGTGGCCCACACCTGTAATCCTAACACTTTGGGAGGCTAACACAGGTGGATCATTTGAGGCTAGGAGTTCAAGATCAGCCTGACCAACATGGTAAAACCCCATCTCTACTAAAATATAAAAAAAATTAGCCAGTCATAGGCATTCATCTGTAGTTCCAGCTCTTCAGGAGGCTGAGGCAGGAGAAATGCTTGAACCTGGGAGGTGGAGGTTGCAGTGAACCAAGATTGTGGCACTGGGTGATAGAGACTCTGTCTCTAACAAAAAACTAAGGGGTTCTCTGGTAAGCCACTTGTGAAACTGGTTTTCCTTGGTGGTACTAAGGTTGCAGTGAGCCGAGATCATGCCACTGCACTCCAGCCTAGGTGACAGAGCAAGCCTGTAATCTCAGCTACTCAAGGAGGCCGAGGCAGGAGAATCAGTTGAACCCAGGAGGTGGAGGTTGTGGTAAGGCAAGATCCCACCATTGCACTCCACTCGGCAACAAGAGCAAAACTCCATCTAGAGAAAAAAAAATGTGGGTTTCCTGGAACTTTGGGGGATCATTATAAAAATACTAGGGTATTTTTATACTAGGGTAAAAATACTAGGGTAAAAAAGCAACCTCAGAATGAAATAAACATTGAACATAAGCCCTATATTCCATCATGTCTCTGTTACCTCAGCAAAGCTTGGCTTTACTGTAATTTCCTATTCTAGAAATTTCCTCCTTCCCCTCTTCCCAGTGACATGTTTCTGTACTGTAAGATTCAGTTCTAGTGGCATCTCTGAAGTCACTCAGACCTCCCAACTGGATAAGAGGGCTGTGCCTTCAAACTCTCCCTCTTTCAGAGCATATAATTATAGTACAAACTAACTGACAAAACAAAAACTCTATTTAACACCAAGTTCATGTTTTATACAGCAGGAGCATTACTTCTCTCTGATTTGAAAAGCTGGAAAAAAAAAAAAATATATATATATATATGGTCCTTTAAAACAGGCCAACTTAAACATCAGACTCCCTGGACAATATAGTGAAACCTCTCCACAAAAATTTAAAAACTGGTGGTGTGCGCCTGTAGTCCCAGCTACCCAGGAGGCTGAAGTGGGACAATTGCTTGAGCCTGGGAGGTTGAGGCTGTAGTGACCTATGGTCACGTCCCACTGCACTGCAGCCTAGGTGACAATGTGAGAGCCTGTCTCCAAAAAACAAAAAAAGCCTCACTGGGCTTGATAGAAAAATTAGTGGGGTAGTTGCTGGTCTAAGTGCAGCAGTTTTTGCCACTAGTTGGTCACAACCAGTTACAGACTTTTTTTCTTCTCCCTTTCCACTGCTTCACTTGACTAGGCTTTAAAATATATATTGGCCGGGCGCGGTGGCTCAAGCCTGTAATCCCAGCACTTTGGGAGGCCGAGGCGGGTGGATTACGAGGTCAAGAGATCGAGACCATCCTGGTCAACATGGTGAAACCCCGTCTCTACTAAAAATACAAAAAATTAGCTGGGCATGGTGGCACGTGCCTGTAATCCCAGCTACTCAGGAGGCTGAGGCAGGAGAATTGCCTGAACCCAGGAGGCGGAGGCTGCGGTGAGCCGAGATCGCGCCATTGCACTCCAGCCTGGGTAACAAGAGCGAGACTCCGTCTCAAAAAAAAATAAAATAAAATAAAATAAAATAAAATATATATTAAAAGAAAAGGCTGGGTGTGGTGGCTCACACTTGTAATCCCGGTAACCCCTCAGAGGCCGAGGCAGGCAGATCACATGAGGCTAGGAGTTTGAGACCAGCCTGGCCAACAGGGTGAAACCCCATCTCTACTAAAATTACAAAAATTAGCTGGGTGTGGAGGCGCAGGCCTGTAATCCCAGTACTTGGGAGACTGAAGCAGAATTGCTTAAACCCAGGAGGCAGGGGTTGCAGGGAGCTGAGATAGCACCACTGCACTCCAACCTGAACAACAGAGCAAGACTGTCTCAAAAGAAAAAAAAAAAAAAGGCTGAGGTAGGATAATTACCTGAACCTGGGAGGTGGAGGGTGCAGTGAGCCGAAATGGTGCCGTTGCACTCCTGCCTGGGGAACAAGCAAAACTCCGTCTCAAAAACAAAGAAAATCCCTCTGATAAAATAAGAAAAAAGAAGGCCGGGCGCGGTGGCTCAAGCTTGTAATCCCAGCACTTTGGGAGGCCGAGGCGGGTGGATCACGAGGTCAAGAGATCGAGACCATCCTGCTCAACATGGTGAAACCCCATCTCTACCAAAAATACAAAAAAATTAGCTGGGCATGGTGGTGCGTGCCTGTAATCCCAGCTACTCAGGAGGCTGAGGCAGGAGAATTGCCTGAACCCAGGAGGCGGAGGTTGCGGTGAGCCAAGATCGTGCCATTGCACTCCAGCCTGGGTAACATGAGTGAAACTCCGTCTCAAAAAAAAAAAAAAAGAAAAAGAAAAAAAGAAAAAAGAAAAACTAGCTGGGAGAGTAAATGTAGTAGTAAATGAAAGTGGTGAGTTTAAGGTACTGGGGCAGGTAAGGGAGCAAGACAAGAGAACAGACTGGTTAGGGACTGCCAAGCCTGTTGTCGAAGTTCTAATTTTCATAATTTTTTGGTGGGATCAGCATACTCGTTTTAAAAATAAAGTGAGACTGATTAAACAACTTACTCAGAATGATATAGCCAGGAATTTTCAGGGCTGAATTTAAACCAGGATCTATCAAATTGTAAGGTTTGGGTTTTTTTTCCTTAATAATTATTCCAGGACATGAAGCCAACTGAGGCATTTTTATTGTTTCATGGAGGCTATAAAATGCTAAGAAAAAAGTTGCCAGTAAACCACATTGTGTCTGTTGTTGTTGTTTGTATTTTTAGTAGAGACGGGGTTTCTCCTTGTTGGTCAGGCTGGTCTCAAACTCCCAACCTCAGGTGATCTGCCCACCCCAACCTCTGAAAGTGCTGGGATTATAGGTGTGAGCCACCGCCCCCGGCCTGTTGCTGTTTTTCAGACAGGTTCTCACTCTGTTCCCTAGGCTGGAGTGCAGTGGCGCAATCTCAGCTCACTGCAACCTCCACCTCCTGGGTTCTCGTGCCTCAGCTTCCTGAGTAACTGGGATTACAGGCATGTGCCACCACATGCGACTCATTTTTTTGTATTTTTAGTAGAGGCAGCATTTCACCGTGTTGGCCAGACTGGACTTGAACGCCTGACCTCAAATGTTCCTTCTGCCTTGGCCTCCCAAAGTGCTGTGATTATAGGCATGAGCACCCAGCACCAGCCAAACCGAATGTTATGTAAGCCTTCCATCTGAGGAAACTGGGCCTGCATTTGTAGTCAAAGCAGTGAAACAAAGAACAAGGTTCCCAACAGAGTAGAATGGTCTTAAATAAGGAAAGACAGATCTTGCCTCTGCAGAATTATAAATAGCTGAAACAACTGAAAATAGAAATGATCACCATTACTTTTCTAGACTATTATGATGGTTTATGTAGATGAAAAGCTAAGTTAAGTTACTGTATGGCAAGGATTTCTTCCTAGAGAAGAAATCTTCCTAGAGGTACCATTAGTTCAGTTTACTAGAACTACTAGTACATTTGGCTAGTAGCATTTCTTGAAACTGATCTACCTGTCAGCACCTCTAATGCGTGCTTCTAAAACATCCTTGCATATTGTATGGGTTCATTCAGGCTGCCTCCCAAAGTGCCACGGTAGTTTCTATTTTGGTGTTTTTGATTTTTTTTTTTTAATACAAAAGATATTTGCCTTACCTCCTTTTCAGAGCTCTGTTTAGGCATACCTAAAGAAGTCACAAGTGCTGGGTGCGGTGGCTTATGCCTGTAATCCCAGCATTTTGTGGTTTTTTGGTTTTGTTTGTTTTGTTTAGTAGATTGGCTGTGCCCGGCTAACTCCAGCACTTTGGGAAGCTAAGATGGATCGATCACTTGAGTTCTGGAGTTTGAGACCAGCCTTGACAACATAGAGCCTGTCTCTACTACAAATCAAAAAAATTAGCCAGGTGTGGTGGCACACATCTGTAGTCCCAGCTACTTGGGAGTCTGGGACCAGAGAATCATGTGAGCCCAGGAGTTTGAGGCTGCAGTGGGCTATCATTGTGCCACTGCAATCCAGCCTGGGTGACAGAGCAAGACCTTGCCTCAAGGGAAAAACAAAGGCACATATGACATTTTATATTTTTCCCTCTTCTGTTCATCTCTCATCTTATTCTCTTTAAACTTGAAAGGAGTCAGAATCTTGCACTCTGATTTTTGCCCTGGAGGGAAGGTTGCAAGTGAGAGATTCTTTTACCACTAACCAAAAAATAGCTGCTGCTTTTTTTTTCTGAGATGCAGTCTCACTCTGGTTGCCCAGGCTGAACTGGAGTGCACTGGCGCAATTTCAGCTCATTGCAGCCTCCGCTTCCCCAGCTCAGATGATTCTCCCACCTCAGCCTCCCGAGCAGCTGGGATTACAGGTGTGTGCCACCACGTCTGGCTCCTT